TTGGGTCCAGAGGCGCCAGCTTGTGAGGGCGATTGGGAGGGTGACATTGTGTGCGTGTCAAACGTGGGCATCGCGCCTCCCTAAGCCAAGCAGAAGCTTCCTGGGCTTTGGGAAGGAGGTGCCAGGCCTCTGACAGGACGCTGAAGCCCTCCTGCCTCCTTCCCAAAGCTGGGCGGGCTTTGGGAAGGGGGGCTCTTGGACACTGTCAGAGCATCGTGCCTCCCTCCCTAAGCTGGGTAGAAGCTTCCTGGGCTTTGGGAAGGAGGCACCAGGATTTAATACTTTAATACTCTAATTTACTGTGAACATTTAGAGGACTAGCCTAGCCCCCCGGTCCACTGACCACATGCCACTGGTCCAAGGATGGGTGAGAGAGAAACTCTCCAGAGTCGCATTTGGCCTCCATGCCTGGGATTCCCCACCCTTGAGATTGACAGTGATGGATCACCCAAGCATAGACGTTGCGCAACTCTACCGAAAGCACATGGGAAAGTCAGATCTAAGGACATACAACCTTCCTTTACCACACCCCCTCACCACTTCCAGCATCAGGTCTGTTCCAGAACCTTAAGGCCAAACTAGGACATTTCAAGGAGATACAGCACCTGTTTTTTTTAAAGGAGGGTTCCTATGTGAAAGTCAGCAATGTAGCAGGCAGGTCCTGATGTCACCATGTACAAACTTTCCCCTCCCGCTGCTGCTGTTCAAGGAAGTTTTTAATGGTTAATGTTTTACTGTGTTTTCAATATTTTGTTGGGAGGCATCCAGAGTGGCTGAGGCAACCCATTCAGATGGGCAGCATGTTGTTGTTGTTGTTGTTGTTGTTGTTGTTGTTGTTGTTGTATCATCATCATCGCCACCAAAGGGAGAAATTCCACCCCCCAAAAAACTAAACAAAAAACTTGTTTAATGAGCCGCTGCTGGCCACAACATTGATGATTCCAAAAGTACACAAGCAGAAGGCCTGTTTAAGGATTTACCACCTTTCAAGGTTATGATTCAAAGCAGGCTGAGGATGAGGCGATTAATCTGGCAACATCCCAGTGGGTCGCCCCCAAAAAAAAAAATGAAAAGGGGAACGGGTCCTTAATTCTCCCTGCTCTTCGGCTCCAGCAAATTTCACTGCTGAAATATGAGCAACTCCACTCGGCTGAGATGGAACGAGAAATTTCCTCCCAAGAGTTAGGGAAGATGCCCATAACTCACAGGGAGCACAGTAAGTTAAAAGTTTTCCTTTCCCTTTTGAAAAATGACCTCTCTGCTTTGATCACGTGTTCAGTTTATTGCCATACATGGACTCTTCTCCTCCCAACGTATTTGATAGGACTAGTTCACAGATCAGGGTAGAATGCCAGGTTGCAGATTCAGCTCCTTGTGTCCCCATTATGTGCCTTAGATCTTGGGCAGCTGCTGCCAGTCAGTGCAGAGGCAACTGGGTTAGGTGAACAAATAATCTGGCTTAGTATAAGCCTAGACCCCATTCCTATGTAAAATGATAGCAAAGACCACAAAGGAGACAGTGTGGAACGTGAGAAGCTACCTTACACTTGTCTAGCTCAATACTGCCTACACTGACTGGCAGCTACTCTCCAGGACAGAAGTGCCTCAGCTGGGGATGGAGAGCCACAGCCTTAGCTTCCTGGTGGGTGCCTTGCTGCCACTTACAATGAAGATGAGAAGGAGGGGAGGGGTGGCCTAGACGCCAGCCTGCTGTGGGTGCATTGCCAGTAGTGCTCGATTGGCACCTTGCCTCATTCCCTTGTGGGGATCCCTTCAACAACAACAAAACATGCAAATTGAAGACCCTTTTTGATTTGCTAGATCTGACTTCTGCTTCCTTCCTTCTAGAACAGTAGCTGAGGGGGCTATCAAGGAAGGAAAGAAGGAAGGTAGGTAGATCAGGGGGCAGTTGCTCTTAGTAGTGGAAGGCTGTGAAGTCTCCTTCATTGGAGCTTTTTAAGCAGAAGTTGGATGGTCATCTGTCAGTTGTGGTTCCCTGCATTGCAGGGGAGTTGAACTAGGTGGCCTTTTGGGGTGGGAAGTCCAATTCCACGATTCCATGGCGGGGATGAGAAGCACCAACGCTTCCACCCATCCAAAGAGACTGCCTGGAATGGGTGGTCCTTAGGACCCCGAGGACAGACCGGGAAGACTCTGTGTGTGGGGTGTGTGTTTATCTGTCTGTAATTCGAAGGTAGGCAGCGCCAGCCAGCATTGCGCTGCCTGGGGAAACTAATGATAAGCGCCTTAACCCTTTGCGTGACAGGCAGCTGCAGCAAAAAAGAAGATCCCTCCTCCTTCTCCTCCTCCTCCTCTTCTACCCTCCCCTTACACCGGCTAGGAAGACCATGTGCTGCCGTCGCTACTGCTGCTCCCTCCTCCAGCGACTGGCGGAGAGACTGCCGAGCGTCTTCCCCGCGACAGGTGCTGCTGCCGGCTCTCTCCCGCGGCTGATGCTGGGATGCAGAGCGTTGGGTCTGGGAGGCTGATTCTGCCCTCCATCCTTCCTGAGCGCTGCGAGGGGACCCGGGAGGTGCACGTCCAATGGAGCAAGACTACATCCACATGCACAATGGCTCTCTGCACGGCTGTGGCTTAGGATACATACCTGTCGTCTACTACAGCTTGCTTCTTTGCCTGGGGCTACCAGGTAAGGCATCACTTGATGGGGGAGAAGAGAAGAGAGCGGGGAGCGGGGACGCTGGTCCAAGCCCCAGGACGCTACCTGGACCACTCTAGAGAGGGAGCGATTCGATGGCAGCCCTTCAAAACTTGGCGCCTGGCTTTAAGTTCCTCCGTGACCAATGGCTTTCCCCTACCCAAGCCCACAACTATTGTGACTCTTTAAGGATGTGTGGGGCAGGGGGCCGGGAGGTGGTCTGCAAAAAAGGTTTTTTTGGGGGGAGGGGGTCACAGTCCCTGTGCAGAGGACACGGTGGCTGGTTTCCATGAAGAAGGACCCTGCTGGGGCTCAAGTATAGCCGCCGGGGCTGAGACTTGGGGAGACCCCTCAATAAATCCCCACTGGGGAGCCAACAACAGACAGACAAGGTAGGATGGAGTGGGAGAGAAAGAAGAGAGTCAAGGGCAGGTGAGGTGTGTTAACTCTGCAAAGTTGGGGTTTAGCAAGTCTTATTGGTAAGTATCCTGCCTCCGATCAAAAGCCAATCTGGTCCAGCCTCCTGCTTTGAACAGTGGCCAACCAGATGCGTCTGGGAAGCAGGGCATCAAAGAAGCAGCCTTTCTTGCTGTTAATCCCCCAGCAACTGGTGTCCAGTGATAGACTTCCCTGAATCTGGAGGTTTTGTTTAGCCACCGTCATGACTTTATAGCCATTGATGGGCTCATTACCTCCGTGAATTTGTCTAGTCCTTCTTTTGTTAAGAACTCCCCATCCAATGCCTTCCAAACCATGTCCCGACAAGACTAAAGTGGCTTGCAGCACACTTTTATACAGAGTGATTCGCATAAATCAATGGGGGCAGATCTCGCCCACAATTACAGCCTGTGCATGCTTACAGGTTTCCTGGCATGCTGTTTTTGCCTCCCAACAAATGAGCTGTCCGTGGTGCTGACACAGCAATGACTGCTTTGAGAGAACACTTTTCTGGCTCACGGTTCAAATGCATCAACTCCGTCTGCCAGAGAAGTGGCTTGACAGTTGTTGGGTTTTTTTTAAAAAAAAATGCTTGGCAGATGCAAGGGAGATATGGGGTAAGGGGGAGAGAACAATAATATTGCTCATAATACCTGTGAAAATTAGAAATGCAGACCTCCAAGACAACCTTTGCAGGTGAGCCTCATTACTTGTGAACCATTAAGCTAATTCTTTAGAGAGCAAAGTCTTCTCTCAGCCACAACCGCAGGGGCTTTGAAGCCTTAGAATCCCAGGGTTAAGGTCTTGTATGTGTGAAATTGTAGTGAAATGGCTTATTATACTGCAAACTGCCCTGTGACCCTCGAATTAAGGGCAGTATATAAATTTAATAAATAAAATAAATAATAAACAGCAAGAAGGAAAATATATATATACAGGGTGCTTTTAAGTTTTGGCAGAAAAACTTCCTCTCTACTGAATAACCACACCCAGCTTCCTCCCTGGCCAATTGCACTTAGAGGTTTTCATTTCTTAAGTAAACCAAGTGGATTAATGCTCCAGAGAGAATTAGCCTTGTTAGGATAGAGGTGTTCAGTGTGAAAAATGAGCCGCTATGGAGAACTGGCAAAACATTTCACCCACATCACTCAGCAAGCTCCTTTGCTACATTTTTTATCCTGCACTTCACCCAGGGAGCACGGGATGGCATTGATAACCTTCCCCCTTTTCATTCACACAACAACCCTGTGAGGTAGGTTAAAAGGGAAGAGTGGCCAGCTCAAGGTCACTCAGTGTGTTTTGTTGCAGAGGGGAGATTAGAGCCCAAGGCTGCAATCCTATCTACACACTTTCCTGGGAGGTAAGTCCTATTCAACTCAATGGGCTTTACTTTTCAGTCAGATATGGATAGAATTCCACTTGCAAGCCTCTGCAAGGCAAGTCCAGCCCTTTACCCACTACTCTGTGCTGCCTCTCCACTCAGCTTGTGGGCAAAATAGGATTAGAGCTTCAGAAAAATTACATCATCCATTTGCCACCCCTGTGGATTTTATAACCAGATCATTTTAATAAGATCTGGTGGTCTGCTTAAAAACAAACAATGCTGGTAAAAGTGCAATTCAACAACCACAGAAGCTAAAATTCAGACAGTTAACCTGCATAAACCAGCTTCAGAGTTATAACTTGACCAGTAAACTTCCAGACATTTCATGGGGGTTGCAAAATGCAGAATGTCTTCCTTTTGAAAGAAAAAAATAGTGATTCCTTAAAATCACTGCATACCTGCCGTGAAAGAGCTTCCTATATGGGAGATCCCCTTTTCTTTTTCTATGGACATCATACTTTCCCTCCCAACCCTGTCCTCCAGTTCAATTAAGTAACATTAACAGCACAATCCTATACATGATAGCTCAGTCGGTTGAGCATGGATCTCATAATCTAAGGCTTGTGGGTTCGAGCCCCATATTGGGCAAAAGAGTCCTGTATTTCAGGAAGTTAGACCAGATGATCCGACTATGATTCTATGATTCTATGTGCAGGCCAATTGAGTTCAATGAGGCTTACTCTCAGGTAAGCAGATATAGGATTGCAGCCTAAATGGGTTGTTCTGGATTTTGCTTTTGCTTTTCATTAAGATTTCTTAACCACTCTTCGCCATAAAATCCCAGAGCGGCTTACAACAATGAAGCAATACGCAGTTATAAAAACAGATCAAACCATTATGATGATGGAGGAGGCAAAAGTTTTCCAAATGGAACAGGGTGGTATGAATTTGACAAGAGAAGCGGGATCCCACAAAACAAAACTCGTCGACTCTCAGAGGCTAAGCTAAGGAGGTGTGTGTTGGGAAAGCTGTACAATGCTTTCTCAACACATCTCCATGAGGAGGGAGTTCCACAGTATAGGAGCTGCCACAGAAAAAAAAGTCCTCTCCCAGACCACGCTTCCCTACAATACTGAGGGTGGCAGAACTACCAAAAGAGACCCCCTCTTAACACCTGAGAAGATCAGAAGGGATGAAAATGGCCTTTCAGATATTTGGGACCCAACCTTTTGAAAGCTTTGTGGGATTGTAGCAGGATTATGAGGTTCCTACTTTAGAGTATGCACGCCAGACAACTGCTGGATCCTTTTGAGTTGGGTCTGTTAAGTGGGGAATGGGGAAGAAGTTTGTTTGTTTGTTTGTTTGTTTGTTTGTTTGTTATTGGATTGACATACTGCCTTCTGGCCAAAGCACCCAAAGCGGTTTGCAGCTTGAACATGAGAGCAAATACAAAGACTGACAGAATCCTCTCGTGCCAAGGGGGAGATGATGGGGTACGTGCTTCCTGGCCCGGCGTTCCTTTCTTCTGCCTCCCCCCAGGGTTTGCAGCCCCCAGGGGAGGTAGGATAGGAAAGAGCTTATTTAAAGGCTAACCTCCCAAACTCACACTTTCTGAAAGAGTGAAAGAACCTAAACGCAGCCATCCTTAGAAACCCGTTCTTCTCTTAATTTTTGCAGTGCAGTTCTCCTGCCAAGTAATGCATCCACTGAGATAAAGTATCCAACTTTCAACACAGTCATGAAAATAATATGCAAAAATGCGTGTATTGGGCAAAAATCCATACTGAAATGCTGATAAATTTTCACAAGGACTTTCTCTCTCACCCCCAAGGGGATTCAGAGAATGATGTGGAACTTAGCTAATATTTGTGATGTCTAAACCACAGAGCCTAGAGCTTGCTGATCAGAAGGTCAGCGGTTCAAATCCCCGTGATGGGGTGAGCTCCCATTGTTTGGTCCCAGCTCCTGCCAACCTAGCAGTTTGAAAGCACGTCAAAGTGCAAGTAAATAAGTAGCTACTGTTGAAATGGCATTTCCATGCGCTGCTCTGATTCGCCAGAAGCAGCTTAGTCATGCTGGCCACATGACCCGGAAGCTGTACACCGGCTCCCTCAGCCAATAAAGTGAGATGAACACCGCAACCCCAGAGTTGTCCATGACTGGACCTAATGATCAGGGGTCCCTTTACCTTTACCTTTAAGTTGTTTTAAACTATTTTTAATGTTGTGTTTCGATGTTGTAACCCACCCTGGGACCTTAGAGAGAAGGATGGCAAAATGATGATGATGATGATAAGATTGGGGAAATGAGGTACTGAGAGAAACCAGAACAGACAGATTCACCCATTCCCAACTGACAGGCATGTTTTCATAAGAATACAGCTGCCTTATATTGAGTCAGAAGACAGTTTCATCTAGCTAACTACAGGCTACACTGACTGGCAGGGTTTCAGCAGCAAAGGCTCCCAGCCCTCCATGGAGGAGCTGGGGATTGAACCTAAGACCTTCTTCATGCCAAGCAGATGCTCCACCACTGAGCTACACCCTTCCCTGGTGACCACAGAATGCTGACTATTTGGGGTGCAGGTAAAAAAAAAATGGGCAGGAAAGGGAGTATTGTGGGAGGGAGCATGGCTGCCTGGCTCGAGCAATGGCCAGGAGCACTCCAAGCTGCAACATTTTGTTGCAGGTTCCACTAGTAGGGTTGGGTCAGGACCTGATCCAAGGTGAGTCACAACAGGAGCATGACCACCATGCAAATATATGGTAAGAAATTAAGAAATTGGTCCCTAAAGGTTAAACTGGTCTAGAGATACCCAGTGGAAGGGAGGTGACCTTGAGGGACCTTTGCAAAGGAACCAACAGCATTGTTAACTGAGGGTTTTTTGGGGGGGGGATTCCCAGCAATGGACCACATCAGCCAGTAGACAAACACCAGAGCACAGGCACACTGACAGCTGCTTCCGCTGCAACTGAAGCAGACTAGACAGCCAACCTTAGCAGCTAGACCAAGTCCTGAAGATTTTGAGGAGGCTTAATTAACAACTCCCTCTCAGAAATGATATACACTCTCTAAAGTGCCTCCCCCCCCCACAGACACACTTACAGGACCATTAAATCCAGAGTTTACAATTAGCTAGCTGCACTGCTAGTGGGTTTTCAAGATCATCAAGGTGACCTCTTGTTCTCTGCCTGTTTTGTGGATCTGGAGAGGATTTCATTATGTCAAGCGCAGCCAAACCTTCCAGAGTGGCTAAATGATGTGTTTTTAAAACACCATTCATTATAGAAAGAAAATCTGCTGCATATTGATCTGGCTGGGCAAGCAAGGCTTTGGAAGCACCGTGTCATTTGCATCATCTTTATTTGTCAATGATTAATAGATAAAGATATATAGGAGATGCTCGCCCTTGCCTAATAGCATATCATTGAAATGCAAGGATGACGGCTCTGCTTACTGACTTACAAATCCTTCGCTCAGAGTGGAAGCGCTGCTGTTGCAAACAATACTTTATTGGCTCTTAAGCTGCAATTGCTCATTTTGGAAGCCGGCATTGCAAATTCTGCATTGCTGAGTAGTTAATCATGCCGTTGTTACTCTGCGTATATACACTGAAATATTAAGTATGCCCCTTCTCCCTCTCTCTCCCTCCTTCCCTGCCTTCCTCTCTCTCTCTCTCCACCTCCCTCCTTTCCCATCTGGAATTGTATGCCAAGAATTCAGATGAAATGTTCCTAGAGGGGGAGAGGAAAGCAGAATGGATATGTCCACCTAGCAGATTCGCTCTGGCTATAATCGAGCATCTTTTTTCCTCAGTATCTGAGGATGGGGGCAGGGAAGGGGAACCTCCTACAAAAGGGGAGGGTTAGGTCTGCCTCTTGGGTCTCCTCTCACACAGGAGCCAGGGTAGCTGTTGACAGAATTGATCGAGTCCACCTTAAGAAGCTGAGTGCAGGAAGTTAATAGAAAGCAATCAGACACACCATCTGTATCTTCCTGAAAAGAGCTGGGTGACAAGGAACATAGGAAACTGCCTTATATTGAGGCTGGCCATTGTGTCCATCTAGCATGGCAGTGGTGGCTGGTGCCCACTGGGGCTGGCAGGGCGAAAGGCAGGGAGCGCAAACAGGAGGGGGAGCCAGAGCCAATGATAGATTGAGCCAGCAAATTCTAGTGTTATCCCCATCCTCCTCTCTGCTGAATTCTGCAGCAGCAAAACTAAGGACTAAGGAGGAGGAAGTTGACAGCCACAACCACCCGCTGGAATGGTTGCAGGTGAGAAGGCAGACAAGTAAGAGCTGGCTGGGGTTTGTGGGGCAGTTCCCTGTTTTCCCCAATGGACCAGTCTGCACTGCAGCTCTACCCTGATCAGCAGGGTTTCAGGCAAAAGACATTCCCAGCCCTAGCTGGAGATGCCAGGGATTAAACCTGTGACCTTCAGCATGCAAGGCAGACACCCTGGCACTGAGCTACAGGCCTCCCACTCTAGTAAGGCTTGGGGGAAATGGCTGAAGAATTCCCCTTGGTTTCTTACCACTGCAAATATCGGATAGGTAGTTATTCCGAAGGAACAGCAGCTTTATTATGGCTTAAGCTCTCATGGGCTAGAGTCAGAAGGGGTGTGCAAGTATCTCTCTGTGTGATACACATGTACACACAAACACACATGCTCCCTCTCCTTGGACAACATTGGTGGCCTGTATTTCTGCAGAGGCTGAATTCATTCCATTAGGAGCGAGGGCACGGCTAACGAAGTGATCAAAAGAGACCACAATGATCCCACGCACGACAACGCCTTCGCCGCATGCACTTCCGCAGCCTCAATTCGGGAATGTCATCTGAGGACAGGGTTTCCATTGCTAGCCTCCACGGCTGTACATGTACAGTATGCTGAGCATGGAAGAAATGTGAGGATTTCATTTCAGGCTTGCAATAAGACAAGGACGGCTTGAGTTATTGGCAGGGAGGGTTTGTGCAGATGTGCTGGGGAACAGGACATTTATCTAAGGCAGGGGTGGGCAGATGGTAGATCTGGTCCGGCTAGTAAATTGCTGGGTGATCTGCATCGGCGAAAGGTTTCTGGCTTCCAGTCACACACAGCAATAACCAAAGCCACTCTCCACCGCCCCTAAATTAGGCAGCTGGAAACCTCGGACGTAGATTTCAATGTGCATTTGGAGGTTGTCTCACTGTATGAAAGGGGCAGTAGCTCAGTGGTAGAACATCTCACATGCATGCCAAAAGCTCCAAACTCAATCCCTAGCATCTCCAAGTAAGACAAATACAGTGGTACCTCAGGTTAAGTACTTAATTCGTTCCGGAGGTCCGTACTTAACCTGAAACTGTTCTTAACCTGAAGCACCGCTTTAGCTAATGGGGCCTCCTGCTGCCGCTGCGCTACCGGAGCACGATTTCTGTTCTTATCCTGAAGCAAAGTTCTTAACCTGAAGCACTATTTCTGGGTTAGTGGAGTCTGTAACCTGAAGCCTATGTAACCTGAAGCGTATGTAACCCGAGGTACCACTGTATAGAGAGATTAGACAAATATACGGAGGACAATGGCTATGATGACTAGGTTCATCGGAGGCAGTAATGCTTCTGAATGCCAGTTGCTAAAAACCGCAAGAAAGAAGAGAGTTCTAGTGCTCAGGTCTTGCTTGTGGTTGTCTCCTGTGAGAACAGGATGCTGGACTGAATGGGCCATTAGCCAGATCCACCAGGGCTCTTCCTATGTTTTAAACAAACTACAGCTCCCAGAATTCCTTAGAGGAATCCATGACTGTTTAAAGTGGTGCCATCATCCTTTAAATGTATGGTGTGAATGTGGTGGTATATAGGCACTTGGATAATGAGTTCACCGCCAGTATATAGGAGATGAAAGAGAGAGAATGATAATGTTTCTCTCTGTCTGCTTTCTCTATGTGGCAGCCAGAATGGAGATCAGTGATGGGGAAAGCTTTGCCCGATGAATTTCTGCCTGTCAGTGAAGAGCAGACGCCTTAGGTTGCAGGACTGACAGATATTGAAAAGCAATTTATTATTCCTTCACATCAACCAGGGCTTGTGAAAATTGTGCCAAACGATAATGCTCTGAGGCTCAGAAAGAGGGACAAATGACGGCTTATGTGGTTAAAGTGAGATAGTGTCTATTTTTGTTGCAAGGGTAAAAGATCCATAAAAATGGCTCGGAGGGAGGTTAAAAAAGTAGCAGGTGGCGGGAAGGAGTGTGCATTAAAGACACTTAGCCCTGGTCAATACCATGAGTCTGGCAAGAGTGTCTGCGAAGCTGCCACTGTTTTAAAATACAATTTCCAGGGGGTGGAAGAGCTGTGGCGGCAGATGCTGTTTAATTTCAGGCAGCAGGGAAACAGCAGCACGTTGGGCACAACTTGGAAGTAGCCTGTGGTCTCGAGCTTTGAGTTTCTGCAAGGAAGCGCCCGCTGATTGTTTCGCTAAGCCAAGGTCAGAGCAGTGATCGCCAGCTGCTGAAATGAGCGCGGCACATGATGTTGGAAGTACAGCCATTTTGCACAGTAACAACAACCTCGAAGAAGTCTTATGTCCAACAGGCATGCCTGGATTCCTCGCGCTGCACGGTATCAGCACATGGATGGACAAAATGTGCTCATGGGAAGTAATCCCCATGAGGATCGTTCAAATGAGATGGGTTTGTTGAACCTGGAGAAGAGAAGGCTAAAGGGGAGACACACCAGGTGCCTTCAAATATCTGAAAGGCTGTCACATGGAGGAAGCTCTTCTCTGTGCACCTCTGTGTTGCTCAGAGTGCAGGATTAGAGCCAATAGGTGGGGGCTGCAAGGAGAAGATTTTGGCTAAACATTAGTAGGAGGTTCCTAACTGTTCATCAGTGGTATGGATTGCCTAAGGAGGTGGTGGGCTCTTCTTTGCTGGAGGTATTTAAGGAGAGATGGGGCAGCTTCTGGGATGCTGTTGTTCCAACATCCCTGCATTGAGCAGGTAGTTGATCTCGATCCTTTGGCCTGCCAGACATCCTTTGTCTACAGTTTACATAATCTGGCCACTGGCCATGTTGGTTGCTGGAGGGCCACAGGTTTCCCATCCCTGGACTAGGTAAGAACATTAGAAGAGCCTAATGGATCAGGCCAAAGGTCCAGCATTGTGTTCTCATAGTGTCTATGGAAAGCTCACAAGTAGGATATGAGTGCAGTAGCAAATATGGAGACACAGGGCTTGCTGTCTCTGCGAATTTCAATGGTCTTCACTGGGTCATTTTAGAATTTTCCTACTTTAAGCATTTCTCTCCTTGGAATAAAATTGCATGTCTGCAAAAACGGAGGTTCCCTCAAATCAGTTCATCCCTGCTTCTTGTGCTTTCGTGACCTTAGCTTCCATGCCTGGGCATTGGAAACAGAAGGAATGCTTAGCAGCATAGCTGAATTTTTTTATTTTTATTTTTTGCCCTGTTGCAGGCCTATCTGATTAACAGAACCTACAAAGATTGCACACACACACACACACACACACACACAATGTTGTAAAAGGCATTGTTTGGTGCAAGGTTTTGCTGCCAACAGTGATAGATTGTGGTCCAACTTGGGAAAGGAAAGATGACCTCGGGACTTGGATCAGGGATGGAGGACAGGTTGGATGAGTCAGTTGTTTGGCAGCCAACTTTTTCCTTCCCTTGCCTCGGGCACTGTTATATATCCGCATGGCAAGCACATCAATTAACAACAAAAGCGCTGGGCAAATCTCCCCCCCCCCTTTGTACGAGATGCTCAAGCTGGGCTGTGGTGGAGTCGCTGCAGACTAGCACCCAATGGCCTGTGGACCAGCACTGGTCTGCAGGCCAGCACCTTGAGTATCACAGCTCTAGATGGCCTGCTTATTGAACACTCATCCTGATTTGCTTGCACAAAGCTTCCAGGGAGGTGAGGGCAGAGGAGAAATTCAGTTCAGTTCACCTTTAAAGGTGAACCTTCCTAACTTGCTCTGGCAATATGGAAACTCGAAACACCCCAGTCCTCCAGAATTCACACTTCTTGGGATTTTGCAATGCAAATCTCTCACTGAGCTGTCAAAAATTGCATGTGCTTGGGTTAAGTATGCATATATATGCTTATATTCACTTTAAAAATGCAATATATTAGGGAAGATTGCTTTGCAAAAGTATGTATCAATTAGGCAAAATGACATACAAAAATTGTGTATGTGAGGAGAAACATTTGCTTTAAATGCTGATGAACTTTAATGGGGGGCTTGCTTTTTAAAGAAAAAAATGCAAACTGATGTGGACGAGCTGGATTTAATATTGGAAAAATGTTGTAGTAGTAACTTTAATTGTTTAGCTATAAGGCATAACAACAATAACAACCGTACAGAATTGAACCACAAATCTGGCTCTTAATTTCCTGACTGCCAACATAAACAGAGAAACACACAAAGTAACATGGTTTTACTTGTCTTACAGCAAACAAAACAAAAACAAAACAAAAAACCCCACATGAACTCACTTGGTGTAACACAATTCTTATTGTGGCTACACTCAGATAGATTTTTTTCCTTCATGGCGAGCTTTAGAAAAAGAACACCGGGTAATACACTCCTCTATTGCTGTTTTGCAGAACGCAGAGTAATTTCTTATAGCAGCCATCAAGAAAGGCAGAGGGCATAACACTAGGGCTTTGTTCTGTGAAAGCAATTCTACATGAAGCCCTAGCAATTAACTTCAGATAGTTAGCTGCCCTGATGGTCTGTCTAAATACATGGATTCATTGGGAAAATGAGAAACTGAGAGAAACCAAAACTGACATATTGCTGCATCCAACTACTGTTGAACAGCTATTACCGCCAGAAAGCTCTTCCTAACATTTAGTTGGAATCTCCTTTCTTGTCCTTTGGAGTGATTGGTCCAGTTCCTACCCTCCAGAGCAACAGAAAACAAACTTGCTCTATCTTCCATGTGACAACCTTTTAGATAGTTGAAGATAGCTATCATATCTCCTCCCAGTTCTCCTCTTTTCCAGGCTAAACATACCCAGCTCCTTCAACCATTCATCATAAGGCTTGGTTTCCAGACCCTTGATCATCTCATTCGCCCTCCTCTGCAGACGTTCTAGCTTGTCAACATCCTCCTTAAACTGTGATGCCCTCTGTAGACTATATCCTTTATTGAAAATACATTCTGATTTGTTTGTGGGGCATATATACATCTTTCACCCCACACTTCTCAATGCATTTCCCTATCTGCAAAAAGGTCCATTTGCTTGCTTCTCAAAGGGGATTTGTTGTGCTAGGGTGGCAAGACTGGTTTGACCCACTTTAATTGCACAGACCTAACTTTCCAGTATGCACTTGAATTCCTCTTGCAAAATACCAACGGTCTCCAGGCGCTCTTCTTCTTCACTCAGACAATAGGAAGCAGACAGCTCTTGTGCATCTCAGACTTGCCACTTCCTATCTGCACATGATTGGGGGGAGAAAGGTGCATCATTTCCATTT